CTTTTATTCTGACAAAAAACTGATCCTGGATCAGTTTATGAAGATCTGATGCTTTTATTCTGACAGGAAACTGATCCTGGATCAGTTTATGAAGATCTGATGCTTTTATTCTGACAGGAAACTGATCCTGGATCAGTGAATAAAGGCCTGATGCTTTTATTCTGAAATGTTTAATTTCAGTTCAGTTTCTGGGTATTTAAGCCCTGAAACTCTGTTAAACTTTGTTTTTAATGAAACTTTGAATGGATTAAATGAAGCAGAAACTTTTCTTTTTATTCTTGTTGTTAGTATTTTAATTAGATTGTTGGTTTTAATTTATTTTGGATCAGATCAGGATGAAATCTGACTTTCAGGAAACGATCTGAGACCTGATGAAGTCTCTTCAGAATCCTCCTCAGTTTTATTTTGTATTTTTATTGTCTTTAATTTAAAATGACACAGGGTGAGGTTCTGGAGGGGTCCAGCAGGGGGCACTCCCTTCATTCTGAAGACAACTGGATGTAAATATTTTACACTGCAGATGAAAAAATAAATAAATTCTTCAAATGATTCAAAACGTTTTGTGTAAAAATAAACTTATTTTGTCAGAAACGTTTATTTTTGTTTAATTTATGTTTTAGTTCAGAACATCTGTTAGCAAAATATCTCCTGAACCACTGGACTGTTTTTAATGTTTATTTACAGCTGATGAACCTTTGAGTTGATTTGATGCATCTGCAGCTGTGAAGACTCAACCCAAACCCATCTGATTACTGTAGTACTACTATAGTACTGTAGTACTACTGTAGTACTACTGTGCTGTGAGGCCCACAGTGACAGGAAACAGCTAAACTCTGTCCAAAAACCTGCAGAGCAAMGACAACACAATACTGCACAACATCCACTAGAGGGACTCACAGGCTGTTAAAGCTCNATGCGTGTCACATCAGTGCTGTGTAGCGTTCACACAGGGGTCTGATGCAGGTCACATTTAAAATGTAATGTGAACGTTCACACAAAAAGATCGGATTTTTTCAAAAAATCGGAACTGAGCATTAAGATCTGCAGTGTGAACGTAGCCATGGATCAGTCAGCAGCAGCATCTGATCAATATGTGATCCATGATGTGATGTAAATGTAACACGTTCTACATATAGGTCAAATTAATCACTGCAATAAAATAACTTTGTTTTTGTCACTTTTACAGTGGACTGCATCAACTCTGTTACATTACAGAAGAGAAACTTCACCAAAGTGAAACAAATCTGTGGATCTGTGTTTGATTACTCTGGCTGGCTTTCTCAAGGACCAGGATGTGACACAAAAATCTGAAATATGGAACAGAAAGTGAAAGTAGTCAAACTGAATTTTTAATAAACCAAAATACAGTTTCAAAGCAAATTAATTCAGATTCAATTTAGTGAAATTTATTTTCAAACCAWTGCATTCAATTTCAAATTATGCACATTCAGATTCAATATGAGCAATTCAAATTCAATTCCTACTGGCACAAGATTTATCCCATAAAAATGTCCAATTTAAAAAAATACTAAAGGACTGTAACAAAGTAAATGTACTTTGTTACTATACACCTCTGCTGTGTAATGTTCTTTTTGTTTAAAACTTTCATATAATTTGAAAATTTAAGGATGTTTTCCAGTTTATGTGACTGAAAGTTTTACCAGTTTAACACTTTTTGAACTTTTTTAAACTTGTTTTTATCARTTTAAAAACTGAATTTCTTTAGTCCTTCTCAATGAAATTAAAACTGGCATTTAACAGGAAACCAAAACAGTTTTGGTAAAGATAAAACTGTCAAAGAGAGAACCTGTTATATTGCCATAAATTCAAACTCTAAATCCATCCACCTTCTTCCTCTTTTCTGGGGTCAGGTCGAGGGGGCAGCAGCCTAAGCAGAGAGACCCAGACCTCCCTTTCTCCAGCCACTTGGACCAGCTCCTCTGGGGGAATCCCAAGGTGTTCCCAGGCCAGCTGAGAAACACAGTCCCTCCAGCGTGTCCTGGGTCTTCCTCTGGGCCTCCTCCCAGTGGGACATGCCAGGAACACCTCACCAGGGAGGCGTCCAGGAGGCATCCTAACCAGATGAACCACCTCAACTGGCTCCACTCGACGTGGAGGAGCAGCGGCTCTACTCTGAGTCCCTCCTAATGACTGAGCTTCTCACGCTATCTCTAAGGGAGAGCCCAGACACCCTGCAGAGGAAACTCATTTTGGCCACTTGTATCCGTGATCTCGTTCTTTCGGTCACTACCCGAAGTTCGTGACCATAGATGAGGGTAGGAACGTAGACCAACTGGTAAACCAAGAGCTTTGCCTTCTGGCTCAGCTCCCGCTTCACCACGATAGATCGGTACAGCACCCGCATCACTGCAGACATAGCATCAGTCTGCCTGTCGATCCCCCGCTCCATTCTTCCCTCATTTGTATACAAGACCCCGAGCTACTTAAACTCCTCCACTTGGGGCAGGACCTCCTCCTGGACCCGGAGGCGGCACGCTACCCTTCTCTGGCTGAAGACCATGGTCTCTCGGATTTGTAGACACTGATCCTCATTCCGGYCGCTTCACACTCGGCTGTGAACTGCTCCAGTGAAAGCTGGAGATCAGGATCTGATGAAGCCAATAGGACCACATCATCTGCAAAAAAGCAGTGATGTGATCCTAAAGTCACCAAAAAGGATCCCCTCAACACCTTGGCAGCACCTAGAAGTTCTGTCCATAAGTTATGAACAGAATCGGTGACAAAGGGCAACCTTGGCGGAGTTCAACTCTCACCAGAAACGAGTCCGACTTACTACCGGTAATGCGGACCAGRCTCTGGCACCAGTCGTACAGGGACCTAACATCCCGTATCAACGGGCCTGGTTCCCCATACTCCCGGAGTACCCCCCACAGGAGTCCCKGAGGKACACKGTCGAACGCCTTCTCCAAGTCCACAAAACACATGTAGACTGGTTGAGCGAACTCCCGTGCACCCTCCAGGACCTTCTTGAGGGTGTAGAGCTGGTCCAGTGTTGAACHGGAYGAAAACCACATTGAATCCGAGATTCAGTCATTCAGCTGCATAGACCTTACCTAAAACTCTAAATCAGCCAAACCAAAACATATAAAAGCACAATGCGATATTAAACCACTGTATAAAGTCTCGTTGAGGTGCAGAAATGTCATTTAACAGCAATGTGTGGTTGTGTTTTTCATATTTATTACCACAGTTGATGTGTTGCCAAAATCCATCTTTGAAGAACTTCAGCTGGAGGGACATCGTGGATCCTGAAGCGCAAATGCGATTGCGAGAGGTGGCACGCACAAAACCATGACGTGAAATCTTATGGTTTGGCACAGAACAGTTTTTAGATTTCCTAAAAATCTTTTTTTAATCGTCTGCTCTTCCAACAGCTGCACAGTTGTAGTGATGTCAAACARTTATCTCCCAGTTTGTGTGACTGGGTGTCACACTGTGGGATCCCTGGAATCTATTCAGCCCATTCCTATGAAATATCAACCATATATGCTTGTTTGGTAAAACACTACATATACCACAGGTGAGGCATTTTTTTGGGGTTATAAATTAGTTTATATATATATGTATATGTGTGTTTTGTTGCTAGCTGCAGCATCAGTTTTCATTTCTCCTGGACTTCAGGGTGGCCAGCATGGTCTCTCAGTTCACTGAGGGTCTGAACAGCTGTGGAGGATTATGGGATCTGGTGAAGTGTCACTGGGAGACGTTTCTACCAGTAATGACCGGGAAAGAGCAGCGACCTCTGACGCTGGAAGAGTTCAAAGAGCTTTTCACTTTCTGCTACAGCCACGCTGACTCTAAGCTGAGGGCAGGCGAGGAGGCCACGGTCTCTCAATGGGAAACGGTCCTCACATTTGTCAGGGGTAAGCACCAACAGAAGCAGACTGGCCTGCTGATGTAAGAAAAACAAGTCGTGTGGTTGAACTGTTCTGATGGACGTGTTTTTTTGTGTTCAATCAGATGGACAAGCACATTTTTCCTTTGAAGACCTCCTGATCTTCATCACAGGAGACGATCACCTGCCTCCTCTCGGGTTCTCCAAACAGATCTCCCTGCGTTTTTACACCCAGGTTGGTATCTGTCTGTGATATCTTTACTCTTAAGAATGATGCCCACTCTCAGTAGATTTATTTAAACCTCTTTTTAATGCTCTTCACAGCTTACAGTTAGACTAACAGTTCTGTACAACACATGGGCTAACTTCTACTCTAAATCTCCTGCAGTAGCTATTTAGGTTTTTCTTTGCTACTGCCTCTAGTGGTGTTGGGTGGTAACGCAACCAAAAGATCACTAAATCAGGATACCACACTGTCATGCAGGGGTGGGCAGCACTAATCTAAAAATGAGTTGCACTAACACTAAAGCACTAACTCAAATATATAGGTCGCTTAATTCTAAAGCATTAATGCACTGAAAAAAGTTAGCAAAAGCTAATTATAAAGCACTAATGTAACCCAGTCGACCCATCAAACATTCTTTAGAGTCAACGATAGCCAATCGTGTACAGAATATTGTCAATAATCAATGTCAATATGGCACCTAGTGTTTGTGACACACATGTACAAAATGTGACAGATTTCACCCTCAGCTGTTARTAATAATGTTGATCAATAACATTTTAAGACATCAGTTAGTGCCTCTAAATTTAGCCCATACATTTAGCAAGTGCTAATCCACTAATGAAGTTAAAAAACAGCAAAAGCTCTAAAGCACTAATCAGAAAATTGCCGTATTTAATAGGTGTATAATACGATCTCATGTATAATATGACCCCCACTTTTTTAGCTTAAGAAGCATAAAAAATTTAATCCTCAAACTACCTCCAATTTCATACAGAATTCAAGATATTTCAGCCTTTGCAGTCTTTATACATATCAGTGAAATGATCATTGGATTGTTCATTTTATTTTAACAACATATGTACTAAAAGGTATTTTGACAACAAATGTATATCAGCTGTTGCAGCATCATATGAATTCTGGCATTTTACACATAGTCCACCAGGAGGCGCCAACACAAAAGTCAGAGACTTCACATGAGATTTGGACCATCTTGTGGGGAAAAGCAGATTACTTTAATTCGCGAGCGCCCCCTCTGGTGGTGAAACCTTTTTCAGGGATACAAACTTTTTCAGAACACCAGTAGACAGCCGCCATTACAGACGAACATGTGTTTGTTGTTGTTTGAGGAGCGGCCCGGTCACACGYTAATGTCATTAGTTCGCTATCATTACTAAGGTGCAGGACTACCTTTTCCACCTTTTTTCACATCATGTCACCTGCCTGGATCTGTTAGGAGTGTCAGAGGTAAGCTCGTTTCARCTGCTTTTTACGACGCGGTCTCATTTCCAGACTCAGGCATTTTGTAAATGAAGCCGATATTCAGTTTAAATACCTAAGTAAAAATATTTATCAGTGTATAGTACTTTATGGATGATTTTATGGATTTAATTTTATGTATTATACTTGAATAAATACGGTAGTTCCCCTATTCAAAAAGAAAAAAATAAGGAGGTCCTCTGGATGGGTTCTTCTTTTAGTGAAACATTTCGTCTCTCCTCCAAGAGACTTCTTCAGTCTGAGTTTCAGGTGAACTCAGCCTTTTAAGCACTGTCTCCACATGGTGGACAAACAGGTTAGTCACATGCAAATAGTTCCCCTATTGCTTTAGGGGAACTGTGCCCACCACTGCTGTCATGTATATTATTTTTTTACCAGCACGGTTAAAGTGAGGCTTTTGCCTCTTAGTTTAAACTGTTGCTTCATCAGTAAACCTGTTTTTCGTGTCACAAATTCGGATCAGCTTGGGTCAATGGCAACTGTGACGACATTTAAACAGTTTCTACCTGCCATGTACATAAATCAAGATTTCTGCATTTTATTCATTACCTCCCATAGGTTTATAAAATATGTCATTGGTCAAACAGTTTCAGGTGCCTCAAAAAATCCTAGTGAATTATATAATATATAATTAATAATGATATAAAATTTAGACAAGAATAAAACTGGAACCAACATAAACACCATTTGACTTTAATGAATTGCACAAACCAGGAAAAAACATCAGAGGAACTTTGCATATTCTGTCTATCAGGGAGTGGTACCAGTGCAAGATTAAAAATGATCCTTTGTACAACGGAGTCAAAAAAGAAAAAAAGGCTTGACACCCAATGAATCTTTTATTACTGTACCCCTAAAACTCTTCCTTTTCCACTTTTTTTGTTTAAATGTTTTTAGTTGAGTGAAAAAAAACATCTTTCTCATCCTGTCGTTTTTTAGCTGGTGTTAAATACTATATGTCTCTAGAAACACTTTTCTAAACAATTTAAGTTTATGAAATCCATTCATAGAATAAAGTGAAAAAAAGTCCAAAATGCTCTAACTTTGGTCCTAAATGAGATGAGTCCATGTTAAAATCATGACTAATCAGGATCTAAACAAAGACCAACAATAGACTTGAAACATGTCTAGTAAACAATAAGGCAACACTCGTAGGGTTAAAATTCTTCTTCTTCTCCTTGCAACGCGTTTAAAGCTGCATATCAACATCTACTGTATCGAGRTGTAGTGTGTAATTTTAGTGTGTYAGTGGAACAAAAAACTACACAAAAAAAGATGGAGTAACTAATGCYTGTACAACTTTACAATAAGCCTCCTCTTATAGATCCTATTACTGAAGAGGATTGTGCCCTCTGYTGGTCCGGATGTCCGAAAAATTGGACTTGTGGCGGCGGGCGGTTTTTAGTCAACTTCTCCGCAACTGTATAGGTTATTAATTCATCTGTAAACACATTATA